CACCGCTCCTCATACATGGACCCGCCCCCTATCATCACCCAACTCCACCCCGAACCCCCCTCCCCTCTATAGGGGGAGGGGCACGACATTCATTGCCAGACCCCGCCTACACACTGCTTTGGGTAATCCCCAAATTCCCAACCCGAAGTCCTCCCCCATTCCTGAACCCCGGCCCGGGGGTTCCAGATCCTGAAAATCCTCCCGTTCCTGAACCCAAGATGGGTTTTGCTGTCCCGAAACTTACCGTATTGCTGAATCCGGGGATGGGCTTCTACCAATCCCGGAACTCCTCCCCGTTCCTTACCCCGGGGGGGGGGATCCTGAAACTGATCCGCTATTTCTGAATCCGGGACTGGGCTTTACCAATCCGAAACTCCTCCAAGTTCCCTTTATCCCGGGGAACTGTGCTTCTACCGATTCGCAAATCCTCCAAGATCCTTATCCCGAAACTCCGATCCACGAAACTCCTCCTGATCTGATCTGGGACTGGGGCTTTCTACCGATCCGAAACTCCTCCATCACGATCCTTATCACGGAGCACTGGGCTTCTCCGATCCCGAAACTCCTTCCTCGATCCCTTAACCCGGGACTGGGCTTCTACCGATCCCGAAACTCCTCCAATCCCTTAACCCGGGCTTCTTCTCCCGATCCCGAAACTCCTCCACGATCCCTGATACTGGGACTGGGCTTCTACCGATCCCTGAAACTCCTCCTCGATCCCTTAACCCGGGACTAGGCTTCTACGATCCTTGAACGCCTTGCGATCCCTGAAGCTGGACTGGCTTCTACCGATCCTGAAACTCCTCCACAATCCCTGAACCCGGGGGACTGGTCTTCCACTATCCGATCCTGAAACTCCTCCACAATCCCTGAACCCGGGACTGGTACTTCTTCTACACCGATCCTGAAACTCTGCCGCAATTCCTGAACCCAGGACTAGGCTTCTACCGATCCTGAAACTCCTACTGATCCCCGAACCCCGTGGGCTTCTTCCGATCCCAAAACTCCTCTGCAATCCCTGAACCCGGGACTGGGGCATTCTACCGATCCCGAAACTCATCCCCATTCCTGAACCCGTGACTGGGCTTCTACTGATCCCAAACTCATCCCGTGTATGAGGAGGGGTGGCTGTGGGGTCTTCTCTGTGTGTGAAGAGTGGGTGACTGTGGGGTTCTCTCTGTGTATGAGGAGTGGTGACTGTGGGGTTGTTTCTGTGTATGAGGAGTGGTCACTGTGGGGTCCTCTCTATGTATGAGGAGCGGTTACTGTGGGGGTCCTCTCCATGTATGAGGTTGTGGTGTCTGTGGTGTCTGTTCTGTGTATGAGGAGTGGTGACTGTGGGGGTCCTCTCCATGTATGAGGAGTGGTGTCTGTGGGTGTCTGTTCTGTGTATGAGGAGTGGTGACTGTGGGGATCCTCTCTGTGTATGAGGAGCGGTGACTGTGGGGGTCCTCTCTATGTATGAGGAGCGGTTACTGTGGGGGTCCTCTCCATGTATGAGGAGTGGTGTCTGTGGTGTCTGTCTGTGTATGAGGGAGTGGTGACTGTGGGATCCTCTCTGTGTATGAGGAGCGGTTACTGTGGGGTCCTCTCTGTGTATGAGGAGTGGTGACTGTGGGGGTCCTCTCTGTGTTTGAGGAGCGGTGACTGTGAGGTCCTCTCTGTTTTTGAGGAGCTGGTGACTGTGAGGCCCTCTCTGTGTTTGAGGAGCAGTGACTGTGGGGTCCTCTCTGTGTATGAGGAGCGGAGACTGTGGGGTCCTCTCTGTGTATGAGGAGCGGTGACTGTGGGGTCCTCTCTGTGTATGAGGAGCGCGGTGACTGTGGGGGTCCTCTCTGTGTATGAGGAGCGGTGACTGTGGGGTCCTCTCTCTGTGTATGAGGAGCGGTGACTGTGGGGTCCTCTCTGTGTATGAGGAGCGGTGACTGTGGGGTCCTCTCTGTGTATGAGGAGCGGTGACTGTGAGGCCCTCTCTGTTTTTGAGGAGCGGTGACTGTGGGGTCCTCTCTGTGTATGAGGAGTGGAGACTGTGGGGTCCTCTCTGTGTATGAGGAGCGGTGACTGTGGGGTCCTTTCTATGTATGAGGAGCGGTGACTGTGGGGTCCTTTCTATGTATGAGGAGCGGTGACTGTGGGGTCCTCTCTGTGTATGAGGAGCGGTGACTGTGGGGTTCTCTGATGGGTGGCTTTATCTGTGAAGCTCTGGGCCTGTCTTCCAGACCTCCCTGTATACATGAGGAGGACAAGTCATGAACAAAAAAAATCTTTATTTCAATGTCGGGATTGTTACACGGGAAGACGTTTTGTAGGACCGATGATGACCACTGATGACAGATGATGACCACTGATGACTGTAGATGATGACCATAGATGACAGATGATGACCATTGATGACTGTAGATGATCATAGGTGACTAATGATGACCATTGATGACCATATGATGACAGATGATGACCGTAGATGACAGATGATGACCACTGATGACAGATGATGACCACTGATGACAGATGATGACCATAGATGACAGATGATGACCACTGATGACAGATGATGACCACTGATGACAGATGATGACCATTGATGACTGTAGAGATGATCATAGGTGACTAATGATGACCATTGATGACCATAGATGACAGATGATGACCGTAGATAACAAACAGATGATGACCACTGATGACAGATGATGACCACTGATGACAGATGATGACCATAGATGACAGATGATGACCATTGATGACTGTAGATGATCATAGGTGACTAATGATGACCATTGATGACCATAGATGACAGATGATGACCGTAGATGACAGATGATGACCATTGATGACTGTAGATGATCATAGGTGACTAATGATGACCATAGATGAGCAGTGAAGATCAATGATGACCATAGATGACAGATGGTGACCATAAATGAACATAGATGACCAATGATAACCATTGATGACTGTAGATGATCATAGGTGACCAGTGACCATAGATGACCAGTGAGGATCAATGATGATGATTGATGACTGTAGATGGTCATAGGTGACCAATGATGACCATAGATGATGCATAGGTGACCAATGATGACCATAGATGACCAGTGAGGAGATCAGTGATGACCACAGATGACCATAGGTGACCAATGATGACCAATGAGGATCAATGATGACCAGTGAGGATCAATGAGGAACATTGATGACCATAGGTGACCAATGATGACCATTGATGACAACAAATGACCATTGATGACCACAGATGACCAGTGAGGATCAGTGATGACCACAGATGACCATAGGTGACCAGAGATGACCAGTGAGGATCAATGAGGAACATTGATGACCATAGTGTGACCAATGATGACCATTGATGACAACAAATGACCATTGATGACCATTGAGAAGCGATGGGCTCTCGGCACACGTCTGGCACATGGAGCGTCTTCTCCGGTCCTCCACCAGGGATCACGGTTTGTATTTGCACACGTAGTGTTTGACCAGCTTGCAGTTGCTGTCATTCCACTTTATGAACTCTGGAAGAAAGAGATGGACGTCATTATTGACCCACCTGGACGGAGCGTGGTTATCTGTGCGCCTTCGCTGTGTATTGGAGGGGATCCAGCCAATGGGGTTTCCCCATCACCTCCCCCATATATGGAATTCTGGGTCCTTCTGTGCCACATGGGACCCCTTCACAGGAATGACCTCTCCGTCCTACAACAATCACCACCCTCATTGGCTGCCTCCCGGTCCTTGCAGGATTCATTACCCAATCCAACAAGTGCTCCGCTGGAACCCGTTCATCCAGAAAAAGCAGGGAAGTTTGGTAATCAAAGCACCCCCAAAAGACAGGCCCCGCCCAGACACCCCTCGTTTTCTACGTACTCTCTATACAGGACAGCTCTCCGCAGTGCTCCTCCTTCTTGTTGTTGTCCGGCTGATTCGGCAACCAGGAGCGGTAATTGTACATGGAGCCATCGTTCCACTTCCAGCGACCGTTCTATGTGGAGACCATGGACGAAGAAAGACAAAGCGTCAGCTGTGCGGGGGGTCCCCCCAAATATCCATCTGAGCTGTGTGGGGGGGCCCCTAAATATCCATCTGAGCTGTGTGGGAGGGCCCCCAAATATGCATCTGAGCTGTGTGGGGGGGCCCCCAAATATACATCTGAGCTGTGTGGGGGGGCCCCCAAAAATATACATCTGAGCTGTGTGGGGGGGCCCCCAAATATACATCTGAGCTGTGTGTGGGGTCCCCCCAAATATACATCTGAGCTGTGTGTAGGGGTCCCCCCAATTATACATCTGAGCTGTGTGTGGGGTCCCCCCAAATATACATCTGAGCTGTGTGTGGGGTCCCCCCAAATATACATCTGAGCTGTGTGGGGGGGGCCCCCAAATATACATCTGAGCTGTGTGTGTGGGGTCCCCCCAAATATACATCTGAGCTGTGTGGGGGGGGCCCCCAAATATACATCTGAGCTGTGTGTAGGGGTTGCAAAGGTTAATGTTACAGCATTTTCCCTTTTACCCAGCGAGTCGGAATCACTGACTTCTTCTGTGGTACTACCACACCAATCCTATTCCACTCTGCAGCATTGTGTTCCTGACTTATCCATTACAGATCTCTATCCTCTCACCACGGACACCACGGATCTCTCTCCTCTCACCAAGGACCTCTCTCCTCTCACAAGGACCTCTCACCACGGATCTTTCTCCCCTCACCACGGATCTCTCTCCCCTCACCACGGATCTCTCTCCCCTCACCACGGATCTCTCTCCCCTCACCACGGATCTCTCTCCCCTCACCACGGATCTCTCTCCTCTCACCATGGACCTCTCTCCTCTCACCACGGACCTCTCACCACAGATCTCTCTCCTCCTATCACAGATCTCTCTCTCTCTCACCATGGATCTCTCTCCTCTCACCATAGATCTCTCTCCCCTCTCTCCTCTCACCACCAGACCTCTCTCCTCTCACCACGGACCTCTCACCACGGATCTCTCTCTCTCACCATGGACATCTCTCCTCTCACCACGGACCTCTCTCCTCTCACCATGGACTCTCCTCTCACCACGGACCTCTCTCTCCTCTCACCACGGACCTCTCACCACGGATCTCTCTCTCTCACCATGGACATCTCTCCTCTCACTCTAACGGACGAATCTCTCACCTGGACCTCTCACCACAGATCTCTCTCTCGTCTCACCACGGTCCTCTCACCATGGATCTCTCACCTCTCAGCACGGACCTCTAACTACGGATCTCTCTACTCTCACCACGGACCTCTCTCCTCTCACCACGGATCTCTCTCCTCTCACCACGGATCTCTCTCCTCTCACCACGGACCTCTCACCACGGATCTCTCTCCTCTCACCACGGACCTCTCTCCTCTCTCACGGACCTCTCACCACGGATCTCTCTCCTCTCACCATGGACATCTCTCTTCTCACCACGGATCTCTCCTCTCAACATAGACTCACCTCTCCTCTCACCACGGATCTCTCACCACGGATCTCTCTCCTCTCACCACGGACCTCTCTCCTCTCACCACGGACCTCTCTCCTCTCACCACGGACATCTCTCCTCTCACCACGGACATCTCTCCTCTCACCACGGACATCTCTCCTCTCACCTCGGACATCTCTCTTCTAACCACGGATCTCTCTCCTCTCACCACGGACTCTCTCCTCTCACCACGGACCTCTCACCACGGATCTTTCTCCTCTCACCACAGATCTCTCTCCTCTCACCATGGACCTCTCTCCTCTCACCACGGACCTCTCACCACAGATCTCTCTCCTCTCACCACAGATCTCTCTCCTCCTCACCATGGACCTCTCACCACGGATCTCTCTCCTCTCACCACGGACCTCTCTCCTCTCACCACGGACCTCTCACCATGGCTCTCTCTCCTCTCACCATGGACATCTCTCCTCTCACCACGGATTTCTCACCACAGATCTCTCTCTCGTCTCACCACGGTCCTCTCACCATGGATCTCTCACCTCTCAGCACGGACCTCTAACTACGGATCTCTCTACTCTCACCACGGACATCTCTTCTCTCACCACGGATCTCTCCTCACAACATAGACCTCTCTCCTCTCACCACGGATCTCTCTCCTCCCACCACGGATCTCTCTCCTCCCACCACGGACATCTCCCCTCTCACCACGGATCTTTCTCCTCCCACCACGGACATCTCCCCTCCCACCACGGATCTCTCTCCTCCCACCACGGACATCTCCCCTCTCACCACGGAGATCTCCCCTCCCACCACAGATAACTCCCCTCCCACCATGGACATCTCCCCTCCCACCACGGATCTCTCCCCTCCTACCACGGATCTCTCTCCTCCCACCACGGACATCTTCCCTCCCACCACGGTCATCTCCCCTCCCACCACGGACATCTCTCATCTCACCATGGATCTCTCTCCTCTCACCACGGACCTCTCACCACAGATCTGTCTCCTCTCACCACAGACCTCTCTCCTCCCACCACGGATCTCTCACCTCTCACCACGGATCTCTCTCCTCTCACCACGGATCTCTCTCCTCTCACCACGGATCTCTCTCCTCTCACCACGGATCTCTCTCCTCTCACCACGGATCTCTCTCCTCTCACCACGGATCTCTCTCCTCTCACCACAGACCTCTCTCCTCCCACCACGGATCTTTCTCCTCCCACCACAGATCTCTCTCCTCCCTCCACGGATCTTTCTCCTCCCACCATGGATCTCTCTGCTCTCACCATGGACATCTCTCCTCCCACCACGGATTTGTCTCCTCTCACCACGGACCTCTCTCTTCCCACCATGGATCTCTCTCCTCTCACCACAGACCTCTCACCACAGACCTCTCTCTTCCCACCACGGATCTCTCTCTTCCCACCACGGATCTCTCTCCTCCCACCACGGATCTCTCTCCTCCCACCACGGATCTCTCTCCTCTCACCACGGACATCTCCCCTCCCAGCACGGATCTCTCTCCTCTCACCATGGACCTCTCTCACCACGGATCTCTCTCCTCTCACCACGGACATCTCCTCTTCCACCACAGATCTGTCTTCTCCCACCACGGATCTCTCTGCTCTCACCATGGATCTCTCCCCTCCCACCATGGATCTCTCTCCTCCCACCACGGATCTCTCTCCTCCCACCACGGATCTCTCTCCTCTCACCATGGTCCTCCCACCACGGACCTCTCTCCTCTCACCACGGACATCTCCCCTCCCACCACGGATCTCTCTCCTCTCACCACGGACATCTCCCCTCCCACCACGGACATCTCCCCTCCCACCACGGATCTCTATCCTCCCACCACGGATCTCTCTCCTCCCACCACGGACATCTCCCCTCTCACCACGGACATCTCCCCTCCCACCACGGATCTCTCCTCCCACTACGGATACCTCCCTTCCCACCACGGATCTCTCTCCTCCCACCACGGACATCTCCCCTCTCACCACGGACATCTCCCCTCCCACCACGGATCTCTCTCCTCTCACCACGGACATCTCCCCTCCCACCACAGACCTCTCCCCTCCCACCACGGACATCTCCCCCCCCCCACCACGGACATCTCCCCTCCCACCACGGATCTCTCTCCTCCCACAACGGACATCTCCCCTCTCACCACGGACATCTCCCCTCCCACCACAGATCTGTCTTCTCCCACTACGGATATCTCCCCTCCCACCACGGATCTCTCTCCTCCCACCACGGACATCTCCCCTCTCACCACGGACATCTCCCCTCCCACCACGGACATCTCCCCTCCCACCACGGATCTCTCCCCTCCCACCACGGATCTCTCTCCTCCAGCCACGGATGTCTCTCCTCCCACCACGGATGTCTCTCCTCTCACCACGGATCTCTCTCTCCTCCCACCACAGATCTGTCTTTTCCCACCATGGACCTCTCACCACGGATCTCTCTCCTCCCACCATGGACCTCTCACCACGGATCTCTCTCCTCCCACCATGGACCTCTCACCACGGATCTCTCTCCTCCCACCACGGATCTCTCTCCTCTCACCACGGATCTCTCTCCTCCCACCACGGACATCTCCCCTCTCACCACGGACATCTCCCCTCCCACCCACGGACCTCTCTTCTCCCACCACGGACATCTCCCCTCCCACCACGGACCTCTCTCCTCCCACCACGGACATCTCCCCTCTCACCACGGACATCTCCCCTCCCACCACGGATCTCTCTCCTCCCACCACGGATATCTCCCCTCCAACCACGGACCTCTCTCCTCTCTCACCTTGGACATCTCCCCTCTCACCACGGACATCTCCCCTCTCACCACGGATCTCTCTCCTCTCACCACGGACATCTCCCCTCCCACCACGGATCTCTCCCCTCCCACCACGGACCTCTCCCGTCCCACCACGGACCTCTCCCCTCCCACCACGGATCTCTCCCCTCCCACCACGGATCTCTCTCCTCCCACCACGGATCTCTCCCCCCTCCCACCACGGATCTCTCCCTTCCCACCACGGATCTCTCCCCTCCCAACACGGAACTCTCTCCCTCCCACCACGGATCTCTCTCCTCCCACCACGGACCTCTCCCGTCCCACCACGGACCTCTCCCGTCCCACCACGGACCTCTCCCCTCCCACCACGGACCTCTCCCCTCCCACCACGGACCTCTCTCCTCCCACCACGGATTTCTCTCTTCTCACCACGGATCTCTCCCCTCCCACCACGGATCTCTCCCCTCCCACCACGTATCTCTCTCCTCCCACCACGTATCTCTCTCCTCCCACCACAGATCTCTCTCCTCCCACCACAGATCTCTCTCCTCTCACCACGGACCTCTCCCCTCCCACCACGGATCTCTCTCCTCCCACCACGGATCTCTCTCCTCCCACCACGGATCTCTCTCCTCCCACCACAGATCTCTGTCTCTTCTCCCACCATGGACCTCTCACCACGGATCTCTCTCCTCCCACCACGGATCTCTCTCCTCCCACCACGGATCTCTCCTCCCACCACGGATCTCTCTCGTCCCACCACGGACCCTCTCCCCTCCCACCACGGACCTCTCCCCTCCCACCACGGATCTCTCCCCTCCCACCATGGATCTCTCCCCTCCCACCACGGATCTCTCTCCTCTCACCACGGATCTCTCTCCTCCCACCACGGATCTCTCCTCCCACCACGGATCTCTCTCCTCCCACCACGGATCTCTCCTCCCACCACGGATCTCTCTCCTCCCACCACGGATCTCTCTCCTCTCACCACGGATCTCTCTCCTCTCACCACGGATCTCTCCCCTCCCACCACGTATCTCTCTCTCCTCCCACCACGTATCTCTCTCCTCCCACCACGTATCTCTCTCCTCCCACCACGGATCTCTCTCCTCCCAACACGGATCTCTCTCCCCACCACGGATCTCTCCCCTCCCACCACCGGATCTCTCCCCTCCCACCACGGACATCTCCCCTCCCACCACGGACCTCTCTCCTCCCACCACGGACCTCTCTCCTCCCACCACGGACCTCTCCCCTCCCACCACGGACCTCTCCCCTCCCACCACGGACCTCTCCCCTCCCACCACGGATCTCTCCCCTCCCACCACGGATCTCTCCCCCCTCTCACCACGGATCTCTCTCCTCTCACCACGGATCTCTCTCCTCTCACCATGGATCTCTCTCCCCTCCCACCACGGATCTCTCCCCTCCCACCACGGATCTCTCTCCTCCCACCATGTATCTCTCTCCTCCCACCACGTATCTCTCTCCTCCTCCCACCACGTATCTCTCTCCTCCCACCACGTATCTCTCTCCTCTCACCACGGACCTCTCCCCTCCCACCACGGATCTCTCTCCTCCCACCACGGATCTCTCTCCTCCCACCACGGATCTCTCTCCTCCCACCACAGATCTGTCTTCTCCCACCATGGACCTCTCACCACGGATCTCTCTCCTCCCACCATGGACCTCTCACCACGGATCTCTCTCCTCCCACCACGGATCTCTCTCTCCTCTCACCACTCTCCTCCTCACCACGGATCTCTCTCCTCCCACCACGGATCTCTCTCCTCCCACCATGGATCTCTCTCCTCCCACCACGGACATCTCCCCTCCCACCACGGACATCTCCCCTCCCACCACGGACATCTCCCCTCCCACCACGGTTCTCTCTCCTCCCACCATGGACATCTCCCCTCCCACCACGGATCTCTCTCCTCCCACCATGGACATCTCCCCTCCCACCACGGATCTCTCTCCTCTCACCTGCTCAGGGTCATGCAGTCCAATCCACACTGGCTGGTTCTTCTGGTAGGCAGAGATATGGGAGGCAATGATATCGGCTTCAGCAGAGTCCATAACGGAGGCCAGATGTGCTCCATGTCCATATGACTGGCAGTCGTACTGTGAAGAGAGAAGGTAGTCAGAGAGGCCCCTCCCCATCTAGTCCCACCCCTGAGGAGTCACATGCGAGACCATTGTTTCCACTGATCACCCACTGAACATTGAGGACTGAGTGATTCCCATAACTGGTGCAGACAGAGTCTGGTGCAGCTCTGCATAACAACCAATCAGCTTCCAGGATTTATTGTCAAAGCCTAGTTGGATGAGCTGAGGTTAGAAGCTGATTGGCTGCCATGCAGAGCTGCACCGGATTCTGAGTGCTCCGGTTGTATTAAATCCCCATCTACCAGCCACTGTTCATAGACGATGGGGGAGGGGGGGTTCTTAGCTGGACTTGCGTTTTATTTGTCATTCAGACTTTCAAACACAAGTTAATCTAAGACTGTCCAGAGGGTGACAACACCGCTGTGTGATTTCCCTGCAGAATGAACTGCGTGGTCACCCCCTGGAAATAGACTATTGGCAGGAGCCCCTCTGTTGGAAAGCAATTGTCCCCCCAATGTCTGCTGGGAACATTTCCAGACAGTACAGAGCACATCCTTCTGACTGGTGACTGAGATGGGGCCCCTGGAAAGGCCTAGCAGGGTGTACATGTAAATGCTGGGAAGCTGTGCAGAGTGTAGATGGGGCCCCGAGGGGAAGAAGAGCTGTTCAGAGTGTAGATGGGGCCCCTGTGAGAGGCTGTGCAGGGTGTAGATGGGGCCCCTGGGAGAGGCTGTGCAGGGTGTAGATGGGGCCCCTGAGAGAGGCTGTGCAGGGTGTAAATGGGGCCCCTGGGAGAGGCTGTGCAGGGTGTAGATGGGGCCCCTGGGAGAGGCTGTGCAGGGTGTAGATGGTGCCCCTGGGAGAGGCTGTGCAGGGTGTAGATGGGGCCCCTGGGAGAGGCTGTGCAGGGTGTAGATGGGGCCCCTGGTAGAGGCTGTGCAGGGTGTAGATGGGGCCCCTGGGAGAGGCTGTGCAGGGTGTAGATGGGGCCCCTGGGAGAGGCTGTGCAGGGTGTAGATGGGGCCCCTGGGAGAGGCTGTGCAGGGTGTAGATGGGGCCCCTGTGGGAGGAGTCAGTGTGAGATGAAGAATTTGGGCAACTGGTTGGTCCCGCCCACTGTTGGGTAGTGATGGCTGATTGGCAGGTTGTAGGTCACACCTCCACCCACTAATCCTCCAATCAATACTGGAGTCCCCGAGACTCCGCCCTCTCCTGGAGTAATAGGAATAAATGGAGCGTTCTCACCTCAGCCTCCGCCCAGCTCAGGGGGTATCGGAAGTATCCATAGCAATTCGCCTTGTAGAAGAACCATCCGGGGGGGCAACTGCTCCGCGCCTTCCCACCTGGAGTAACAACAATCATTACTCAGGGAGATGTATAGAGGGGTAATAATACTCTGTGTATGATGGAGGTGTGGAGGGGTAATAATACTCTGTGTATGATGGAGGTGTGGAGGGGTAATAATACTCTGTATGATGGAGGTGTGGAGGGGTAATAATACTCTGTGTATGATGGAGGTGTGGAGGGGTAATAGTACTCTGTATGATGGAGGTGTGGAGGGGTAATAGTACTCTGTATGATGGAGGTGTGGAGGGGTAATAGTACTCTGTATGATGGAGGTGTGGAGGGGTAATAATACTCTGTATGATGGAGGTGTGGAGGGGTAATAATACTCTGTATGATGGAGGTGTGGAGGGATAATAATACTCTGTGTATGATGGAGGTGTGGAGGGGTAATAATACTCTGTATGATGGAGGTGTGGAGGGGTAATAGTACTCTGTATGATGGAGGTGTGGAGGGGTAATAATACTCTGTATGATGGAGGTGTGGAGGGGTAATAATACTCTGTATGATGGAGGTTGGAGGGGTAATAATACTCTGTATGATGGAGGTGTGGAGGGGTAATAATACTCTGTATGATGGAGGTGTGGAGGGGTAATATACTCTGTATGATGGAGGTGTGGAGGGGTAATAATACTCTGTATGATGGAGGTGTGGAGGGGTAATAATACTCTGTATGATGGAGGGTTTGGAGGGGTAATAATACTCTGTATGATGGAGGTGTGGAGGGGTAATAATACTCTGTATGATGGAGGTGTGGAGGGGTAATAATACTCTGTATGATGGAGGTGTGGAGGGGTAATAATACTCTGTATGATGGAGGTGTGGAGGGGTAATAATACTCTGTATGATGGAGGTGTGGAGGGGTAATAATACTCTGTATGATGGAGGTGTGGAGGGGTAATAGTACTCTGTATGATGGAGGTGTGGAGGGGTAATAATACTCTGTATGATGGAGGTGTGGAGGGGTAATAATACTCTGTATGATGGGGGTGTGGAGGGGTAATAATACTCTGTATGATGGAGGTGTGGAGGGGTAATAATACTCTGTATGATGGAGGTGTGGAGGGGTAATAATACTCTGTATGATGGAGGTGTGGAGGGGTAATAATACTCTGTATGATGGAGGTGTGGAGGGGTAATAATACTCTGTATGATGGAGGTGTGGAGGGGTAATAATACTCTGTATGATGGAGGTGTGGAGGGGTAATAATACTCTGTATGATGGAGGTGTGGAGGGGTAATAATACTCTGTATGATGGAGGTGTGGAGGGGTAATAATACTCTGTATGATGGAGGTGTGGAGGGGTAATAATACTCTGTATGATGGAGGTGTGGAGGGGTAATAATACTCTGTATGATGGAGGTGTGGAGGGGTAATAGTACTCTGTATGATGGAGGTGTGGAGGGGTAATAATACTACTGTGTATGATGGAGGTGTGGAGGGGTAATAATACTCTGTATGATGGAGGTGTGGAGGGGTAATAATACTCTGTATGATGGAGGTGTGGAGGGGTAATAATAATACTGTGTATGATGGAGGGTGTGGAGGGGTAATAATACTCTGTATGATGGAGGTGTGGAGGGGTAATAATACTCTGTATGATGGAGGTGTGGAGGGGTAATAATACTCTGTGTATGATGGAGGTGTGGAGGGGTAATAATACTCTGTATGATGGAGGTGTGGAGGGGTAATAGTACTCTGTATGATGGAGGTGTGAAGGGGTAATATGATGGAGGTGTGGAGGGGTAATAATACTCTGTATGATGGAGGTGTGGAGGGGTAATAATACTCTATATGATGGAGGTGTGGAGGGGTAATAGTACTCTGTATGATGGAGGTGTGGAGGGGTAATAATACTCTGTATGATGGTGGAGGGGTAATAATACTCTGTATGTGGAGGTGTGGAGGGTAATAATACTCTGTATGATGGAGGTGTGGAGGGGTAATAATACTCTATATGATGGAGGTGTGGAGGGGTAATAATACTCTGTATATGGTGGAGGGGTAATAATACTCTGTATGATGGAGGTGTGGAGGGGTAATAATACTCTGTATGATGGAGGTGTGGAGGGGTAATAATACTCTGTATGATGGAGGTGTGGAGGGGTAATAATACTCTATGTATGATGGAGGTGTGGAGGGTAATAATACTCTGTATGATGGAGGTGTGGAGGGGTAATAATACTCTGTATGATGGAGGTGTGGAGGGGTAATAATACTCTGTATGATGGAGGTGTGGAGGGGTAATAATACTCTGTATGATGGAGGTGTGGAGGGGTAATAATACTCTGTATGATGGAGGGTGTGGAGGGGTAATAATACTCTGTATGATGGAGGTGTGGAGGGGTAATAATACTCTGTATGATGGAGGTGTGGAGGGGTAATAATACTCTGTATGATGGAGGTGTGGAGGGGTAATAATACTCTGTATGATGGAGGTGTGGAGGGGTAATAATACTCTGTATGATGGAGGTGTGGAGGGGTAATAATACTCTGTATGATGGAGGTGTGGAGGTAATAATAATAGGTGTGGAGGGGTAATATTATACTCTGTATGATGGAGGTGTGGAGGGGTAATAATACTCTGTATGATGGAGGTGTGGAGGGGTAATAATACTCTGTATGATGGAGGTGTGGAGGGGTAATAATACTCTGTATGATGGAGGTGTGGAGGGGTAATAATACTCTGTAGTGGCAGGAAGCACCGAGATGAATAGTTTCGGTGTGGAGGGGTAATAATACTCTGTATGCGGAGGTGTGGAGGGGTAATAATACTCTGTATGTTATGGAGGTGTGGAGGGGTAATAAATACTCTGTATGCGGAGGTGTGGATGGGGGTAATAATCTCTGTATGATGGAGGTGTGCGGAGATTTCGGGGTGCGGAGAGTCGGTGTGCGGAGAGTCGGGGCGCGGAGGTGCGGAGATGCGCGGAAATAGTACCTCTGTATGATGCGGTGAGAGGTCGGTGTGCGGAGAGTCGGTGTGCGGAGAAGTAGTTCGGTGTGCCCGGTGCGGAGAGAGTGTGCGCGGAGACCTTCTGTAATCCGGGTGACGGAGCGAGCCGAGAAGCAGAACTGGCAAAGGAGCCGCCATGAGGAGATTCATGAATGCTGAGAATCTGCATGTGAGGGTCAGTGTGCGCGGAGAGTCGGGGTGCGGAGAGTCGGTGTGCGGAGAGTCGGGGCGCGGAGAGTCGGAGCGCGGAGAGTGCGGAGAGTCGGTGCGGAGAGTCGATGCGGAAAATCGGTGTGTGGAGAGTCGGTGCGGAGAGTCGTGTGCGGAGAGTCGGTGCGCGGAGAGTCGGTGCGCGGAGAGTCGGTGCGCGGAGAGTCGGGGTGCGGAGAGTCGGGGTGCGGAGAGTCGGTGGCGGGGAGAGTCGGTGTGCGGAGAGTCGGTGCGCGGAGAGTCGGTGCGCGGAGAGTCGGGGTGCGGAGAGTCGGGGCGCGGAGAGTCGGGGCGCGGAGAGTCGGGGCGCAGAGAGTCGGGGCGCGAGAGAGTCGGTGCGGAGAGTCGGGGTGCGGAGAGTCGGTGCGCGGAGAGTCTGTGCGGAGAGTCTGTGCGGAGTGTGTGCGGAGAGTCGGTGTGCGGAGAGTCGGTGTGCGGAGAGTCGGGGTGCGGAGAGTCGGTGCGCGGAGAGTCGGTGCGCGGAGAGTCGGGGTGCGGAGAGTCGGTGCGCGCAGAGAGTCGGTGCGCGGAGAGTCTGTGCGGAGAGTCGGTGCGGAGAGTCGGTGCGTGCGGAGAGTCGGGTGCGGAGAGTCGGTGTGCGGAAAGTCGGTGTGCGGAGAGTCGGTGTGCGGAGAGTCGGTGTGCGCGGAGTCGGTGTGCGGAGAGTCGTGTGCGCGGAGAGTCGGTGTGGAGAGTCGGTGTGCGGAGAGTCGGTGTGCGGAGAGTCGGTGGTGTTCTCCTACCTGTGTCTCGTGGTTGTGGATCTCCTCCCTCGGGTTCGCCGTCTATTTATCCTCCGAGGGATTTTCCTCTCCGGATCATAAACTGAGATTTGTCTACAGATAACAACAGATGGAGATCGTCCCAACACAGGACCTCCTCCTCCCTCCTCCGCCATTCTCCTCCATCTCCATCCTCCTCCATCCATTCACCTCCATCCTCCTCCATCTGCCCTCTCTGGGCTCCTCCTCCATTATCTTCCATCCCCCCCCCCCCCCCCCCCCCCCCCCCCCCCCCCCCCCCCCCCCCCCCCCCCCCCCCCCCCCCACCCCCCACCCCTCTATCCCACCTCACCCCCCCAACACACCTCTATCCCACCTCACCCAACCCCCCCCCCCCCCCCACACCTCTATCCCACCTCACCCAACCCCACACCCAACCCCCCCCCCCCCCACACCTCTATCCCACCTCACCCACCCCCCCCCCCCCACACCTCTATCCCACCTCACCCAACCCCCCCCCCCCACACCTCTATCCCACCTCACCCCCCCCACACCTCTATCCCACCTCACCCAACCCCCCCCCCCACACCTCTATCCCACCTCACCCAACCCCCCCCCACACCTCTATCCCACCTCACCCAACCCCCCCCCACACCTCTATTCCACCTCACCCCCCCCACACCTCTATCCCACCTCACCCAACCCCCCCCACACACTCCATCCCATCTGGAGCAGCTCTGCATAGAAACCAATCAGCTTCCATGTTTTATTGCCAAAATAAAAGTGGAATGCAGGGGTCAGGAGTACGTGGCGCACATAGTGCAGGGGTTAGGAGTAAGCAATGCACAGAGTGCAGGGGTCAGGGAGTAAGTGGCGCACATAGTGCAGGGGTCAGGAGTAAGTGGAGCACAGAGTGCAGGGGTCAGGAGTAAGTGGAGCACAGAGTGCAGGGGTCAGGAGTACGTGGAGCACAGAGTGCAGGGGTCAGGAGTACGTGGAGCACAGAGTGCAGGGGTCAGGAGTAAGTGGAGCACAGAATGCAGGGGTCAGGAGTAGGTGGAGCACAGAATGCAGGGGTCAGGAGTAGGTGGAGCACAGAATGCAGGGGTCAGGAGTAAGCAATGCACAGAGTGCAGGGGTCAGGAGTAAGCGACGCACATAGTGCAGGGGTCAGGAGTAGGTGGAGCACAGAATGCAGGGGTTAGGAGTAAGTGGCGCACATAGTGCAGGGGTCAGGAGTAAGTGGAGCACAGAGTGCAGGGGTCAGGAGTACGTGGAGCACAGAGTGCAGGGGTCAGGAGTAATTGGTGCACAGAATGCAGGGGTCAGGAGTAAGTGGCGCACATAGTGCAGGGGTCAGGAGTAATTGGTGCACAGAGTGCAGGGGTCAGGAGTAATTGGTGCACAGAGTGCAGGGGTCAGGAGTAAGTGGCGCACATAGTGCAGGGGTCAGGAGTAAGTGGAGCACAGAGTGCAGGGGTCAGGAGTAATTGGTGCACAGAGTGCAGGGGTCAGGAGTAAGTGGCGCACATAGTGCAGGGGTCAGGAGTAAGTGGAGCACAGAATGCAGGGGTCAGGAGTAATTGGTGCACAGAGTGCAGGGGTCAGGAGTAATTGGTGCACAGAGTGCAGGGGTCAGGAGTAAGTGGCGCACATAGTGCAGGGGTCAGGAGTAAGTGGAGCACAGAGTGCAGGGGTCAGGAGTAAGTGGCGCACAGAGTGCAGGGGTCAGGATCACATCAATTAAAGCTGAGCACACACATTGCCAGATTAGATTCAGTCCTCTGTTACATAGAATCACCTTCACCGGGTCAGGGGCCCCTCTACTGGGTCAGGGGCCCCTCCACTACGTGGCCTGCAATGGGAACTGACATGGCAGTGCCCCAGCTCCCATCAATGTGCCCCATGGCAGTGCCCAGCTCCCATCAATGTACCCCATGGCAGTGCCCAGCTCCCCATCAATGTGCCCCATGGCAGTGCCCAGCTCCCCCAATAAATGTGCCCCCATGGCAGTGCCCAGCTCCCATCAATGTATGCCCATGGCAGTGCCCCAGCTCATCATACAATGTGCCATGGCAGTGCCCAGCTATCCAATGAAGCCCCATGGCAGTGCCCAGCTCCCCATTCAATGTACCCCATGGCAGTGCCCAGCTCCCCATCAATGTTCCCCATGGCAGTGCCCAGCTATCCATCAATGTGCCCATGGCAGTGCCCAGCTCCCCATCAATGTGCCCATGGCAGTGCCCAGCTATCCATCATGTGCCCCATGGCAGTGCCAGCTCCCATCAATGTACCCCATGGCAGTGCCCAGCTCCCCATCAATGTGCCCCATGGCAGTGCCCAGCTCCCATCAATGTGCCCCATGGCAGTGCCCAGATTCCATCAATGTACCCCATGGCAGTGCCCAGCTCATCCTGTTAATGTGCCCCATGGCAGTGCCCAGCAGCTCCCCAAATGTACCCCATGGCAGTGCCCCAGCTCAGTGCCCAGCTATCCGTGCCCAAATGAGCCCCATGGCAGTGCCCAGATCCCCATCAATGTACCCCATGGCAGTGTGCCCAGCTCCCCATCAATGTGCCCCATGGCAGTGCCCAGCTCCCCATCAATGTGCCCATGGCAGTGCCCAGCTATCCCATCAATGTGCCCCATGGCAGTGCCCACCTCCCATCAATGTACCCCATGGCAGTGCCCAGCTCCCCATCAATGTGCCCATGGCAGTGCCCAGCTCCCCATCAATGTACCCCATGGCAGTGCCCAGCTCCCCATCAATGTACCCCATGGCAGTGCCCAGCTCCCCATCAATGTGCCCCATGGCAGTGCCCAGCCATCCATCAATGTACCACATGGCAGTGCCCAGCTATCCCCATCAATGTGCCCCATGGCAGTGCCCAGCTCCCATCAATGTGCCCATGGCAGTGCCCAGCTCCCCATCAATGTGCCCCATGGCAGTGCCCAGCTCCCATCAATGTACCCCATGGCAGTGCCCAGCTCCCCATCAATGTGTGCCCCATGGCAGTGCCCAGCTCCCATCAATGTGCCCCCATGGCAGTGCCCACTCCCCATCAATGTACCCATGGCAGTGCCCAGATCCCCATCAATGTGCCCCATGGCAGTGCCCAGCTCCCCATCAATGTACCCCATGGCAGTGCCCAGCTCCCATCAATGTGCCCCATGGCAGTGCCCAGCTCCCATCAATGTACCCCATGGCAGTGCCCAGCTCCCCATAAATGTGCCCCATGGCAGTGCCCAGCTCCCCATCAATTGTACCCCATGGCAGTGTTCAGCTCCCCATCAATGTGCCCCATGGCAGTGCCCAGCTCCCCATCAATGTTCCCCATGGCAGTGCCCAGCTATCCATCAATGTGCCCATGGCAGTGCCCAGCTCCATCAATGTGCCCATGGCAGTGCCCAGCTCCCCATCAATGTGCCCATGGCAGTGCCCAGCTATCCATCAATGTGCCACATGGCAGTGCCCAGCTATCCATCCAATGTGCCCCATGGCAGTGCCCAGCTCCCATCAATGTACCCCATGGCAGTGCCCAGCTCCCCATCAATGTGCCCCATGGCAGTGCCCAGCTCCCATCAATGTGCCCCATGGCAGTGCCCAGATTCCATTCAATGTACCCCCATGGCAGTGCCCAGCTCCCTGTCAATGTGCCCCATGGCAGTGCCCAGATCCCCATTATGTGTACCCCATGGCAGTGCCCAGCTCCCTGTAAATGTGCCCCATGGCAGTGCCCAGATCCCCATCAATGTACCCCATGGCAGTGTCCAGCACCCCATCAATATGCCCATGGCAGTGCCCAGCTCCCCATCAATGTGCCCATGGCAGTGCCCAGCTATCCATCAATGTGCCCCATGGCAGTGCCCAGCTCCCAATCAATGTGCCCCATGGCAGTGCCCAGCTCCCCATCAATGTACCCCATGGCAGTGCCCAGCTCCCCATCAATGTACCCCATGGCAGTGCCCAGCTCCCCATCAATGTACCCCATGGCAGTGCCCAGCTCCCCATAAATGTGCCCCATGGCAGTGCCCAGCTATCCATCAATGTGCCCCATGGCAGTGCCCAGCTCCCCATCAATGTGCCCCATGGCAGTGCCCAGCTCCTCATCAATGTGCCCCATGGCAGTGCCCAGCTCCCCATCAATGTGCCCCATGGCAGTGCCCAGCTCCCATCAATGTGCCCATGGCAGTGCCCAGCTCCCC